ATGTCGTCCTTTACAACAAACTTTTCAACATTTACAAAGTCTGTCAAGATACCGACAATAACCAACTTCCTTATAAGCCGGACATAAATAACAAACCATTTTTGCGGATGCTGCTTCTCCTTCGGCTTGTACAATCTTCTCCTGACGTTGTTGTTTTGCTCTCTCCACAAGGAAGGATGCTCGTTGAGCTTCTTGCGCTGCTACCTATAAAAAAGTTTGACATTACTTTCAAAAAGATATGTAATTGAAGATCCTTACCTGTTTAGCCTCAACAGCGGCTGAATATTGTGGCGAGAAAGCTAGCTCAGTAAGGGAAACATCATCAAGGATGATATTGAAGTCCAGAGCACGTTCAATCAAAGCCTTGCGAACCAACATTGACACCTTAATACATTATCATTTATTGATCAGACAGTCAATATTGATTGCATGCAGTTGATGTTTACATTTCGCGACGGATATCACCTAACATAACCATGATTTGAGTTGATGACCTCCTTCTATTCTCCGTGTAATTCTTTGCAAAAAATGTGCGCGAAAAAGGAAAAAAATGCAAGAGGGAAACGTTTTACGGGAAGCGCGACATAGCAGCTTTGGAAAGTAATACTGCGCAAGAAGAAGAAAAATAATCACTTTTAACACAATGATTCTATGGTAAGTCACAAATAGTGGAGTTATCCGAAGTTTTTCATTTTATTTTTTCCGTTTGCCCTTTTTTCTTTGAAAAGGCAAGGATCACTTTCAGTAACATATACAGCGGACGAAAAAAATCGAGAGGATTTTGGACTTGTGAAGCTAATAACACATGAAAATTTACCTGCTGTCGTTGAGTGATAAGCTGTGACGCGTTGAATTTTGCTACTACACTTTTCAGCACCTAAAGAAGTCTTATAAAAGCACGTGATGTAAACAGAAGACTGTAACTTACCTCGTTGCAGATTGATGGAAGGAGCCTTTCTTCCCAATTCAATCCCAAAGTTCGATAGATACGAACTAACTGTTCGGGATTTGGTCGAGACAAAACTCGGAGGCCAATGTTTACCATTTGCAAATCCTTACTTCCAGTAGGAGATCGGATCTAAACAGATATAAAATGGTGGCAATTACAAACAACTACCAATAAAGCAGATAGAGAAATGCAGATAGAAACGAAGTGCACAATTAGCGAAGGGATTTTTCATCTCCCTTAGCGCTTACACCATTCACTGGCACTTCAGAATGATTTGTTCGGAAGAGTTTGCATACCTGATTGGGACGAGCACGAATATCGTAGACGATGGGATACTGGAACCAGGGCACTCTGAAGTGTAGTCCCTCTTTGTATACATCATTCGATAGACCACCGATCCGGTTGAACATAATCGCGCGATGACCCGCATCAACTGAAAACATCATTTTTGAGGGGACTTAAATATACTTTAACTTTTACAAATTGATAGGATATCTTTGAACAAATGGCGAAACCACGATGAACTTGATTGATAACCGCTGAGTATTTACCACACAAGTCCATGATGTGCTTCAGCAACCTTTCAAATCCACAAATCTGCCTTCAAAAATATAATTCCCAATTATGAACTTTCTACACGTTTTTGGCGGTTGATATTAGTAGATAGGCGCATCATCATAGCTTTTTTTGCAACCACAAAACTTGTAACTTCCCAGGCACGCATGAAACTTCCTCTA